ATTGTTTATAAGAGCATTAGAGGAAACATTGAAGGTGCGGGAATTGTTAAATCATGCTTGGCGGAATATGAGCGTGTATCGGGGAGCAAGTGGTTAACTTCAGCAAGCCTAGTATTTGTTCAGTTTAAACATAAACCTGGAGATATGTGCGCAATTAGTTGGGTTTTACGGAGTTGTTCAGGTTGAGAATTTTGGGAAGTACTTCGGGCTCCCCTCTTTTTTGGGGAGAATTAAGAATGGTGTTTTTGCTTTTATCCTTGATAAGATTTGGCACAAGATGGGAGGGTGGAGTAAGAAGCTTCTTCAAAAGGCGGATAAGGAAATCCTTTTGAAGATGGTGGCACATGCTATTCCCCAATTTGCAATGACTGTGTTCCCTATGCTGTGGTCACTTGTCAAAACATTGAGCATTCCCTCTTGTTCGAGAAGTATTCTGGAGGCCTAGTCGCTGGTTGTGAAGTGGTTTAGCAGCGTGGCTTTTGAATGTGTGTTGTTGAGGCTGAATCCCAATTTTTTTTGGTGACAAATGAAAGGTTGCATTGCACGTTTGATCCGAAGTGGGTAGAGGCGACGATGTGCATGGAAGCATTGTTGTGGCTGAAGTGTAAAGGATTGGCGGAGGTTGAGCTCTTTTACGATTGCAGGGACAGTGACTGCTCTTTAGGGCGCAAACTTCTTATCTATGCCCTATTTTGGTGCGTTGATTGTGTATTGTAGAAAATTGGCGGTGGGTTTTCATGATATTTCATTTTCTTTTGTTAGCCGTTTATCCAATCTTATTGCTCATATGCTTGCTAGGCTAGTGGGGTCTTGCTGTGGTGGATGGGACTACACCTCCGGATTTTATCCTTCCACTTTTGATGCAGTAAAGGAATTTCTTTTCCCTAAAAATATGTGGAACAAAGGACATAACATCTTAAGTATGTAAGAGTTAGATTATAATTACTACATCTAATGGACTAAATGTAGAAAAACTTCTATTACAAAAGACTTCTTTCGGAGTTTAGTCTTTGAAAAACACAATCGGTATGACTAAAAAGTGAAGCTATAATTTTGCAACGTAAAACCTTCAAAAGTGACTGTTTGAATTTAAAATACAGTCAATATTATTTCTATTAGAATTGCAAAATAATCTATATGAGTATTAAATTTTAACCATTTTATTTTAAGTTTCAAACATAAATTAACAAATCCATACTCAATTAGAAATTAACATATTAATATCAAATAATTTAAGAAATGGAACCATAAATAAAAAACAGGAGTGAGGTCTTGGCTACTTTCTCAATACTTTCGTACTTGGTTGCATACACAGTGAAGGAGGCCGCGTGCTGGTTGTGGAAACTGGAGATTGACTGGTTTCATTGAGGTGGGCCATTAAACTCATGGATGATTGCTGCTAGGCTATGTTGGAGATCCACTAGGAGAGGGAAGGAAGGGGGGTGGAGGACGAAAAAAAAACGGGGAAGGAAGGATTTTGATAGAAGGGCGCAAAATGATGGTGCTTTGGAGGAGCTATTTAAAAAACTTAAAATATCAAAACAACGACATTTTGGGCATTTATAAAAATTACTCAAAACAAAGATGTTTTGATTGTTTGAAAAATCAGGTGTGGCTTTTGGCTTTTGCCCCATATTGCCATGCTATGCGTCAAAATGTGTCCTCTCCTGCTTAAGGGAAACCCCAAAGAAGTTGCTCCGATAGTAGAATTGACCACCACTTTGCTGCAATAGAATCTACTACTTAACGGTCTTCTTAGTTTGTGTCGGGTGGAACTTTTTGCTCAAGGTAGTGGCTGTGGTTATTTGCACTTAATGGAGCGCAAAGAATCATTTCGACAATGTTTTTTGCATTGGGCAGATAATGTATTAAATCAACCACTTTAAATGTCCCTTGCTTCTTATTTCCTTTGTCCTCGTCCCTCTATAAAAGATGTTCATTTGTCTATGTTTTGAAAGTTTATGTGGCCCACAATTTTTTTTCTCTGCATAAGTTTCCACAACAAAAATTTCACTTTTTAAAAATTGTTCCCAAGTGACTCAACACATCTTTTTGGGAAGCACTCTGTAACCTGTCCTAAAATAAGGTTTCTGTTGCGGTTAGAGATGCTTGACTGTAATGATTTTCAATTCATTTTTTAAAAATTGGTGTAGAATTAAAAAATACTCCATTTGTTCCTATATCGTGTTCGTAATTCAGTTTATGATGTTTAACTGAACATTTGAAACTCAATTTATTCAAAAAGTGGTGTACAATTTAAAAATAAACTATGTATATAAAAAATTTATCAAAAGTTCTACAAAACAAGATGTGGCTTAACTTTTTTACTTTATCAATTGATCAATGAAAATATGTAACTAATGTAAGGATAGAAGATGTGGTTTGACCACGTGAATAATGTTTATGGACACTAAAATGGAACTGACGGAGTACCATTTATATATATTTGAAAGCTACTTCAAAAGTTTTACAAAATAAGATGTAGCGTGACATTTGAATTGTAAATGAGAACCTTGTTTTGGGGGAAGGGAGTAATTTCTATGAATATTTGACAATAGATGCATCAATTCATCGAGGAAAATGGAAACGGGGGTAAGTTAGGTCACGGACATCTTGATTCTCAAGAGTTATACTGGGTTTGTTGTTGTTGATTGCACTTTGCATTGTTAGAAGTCAAACATAAAGTTACTAAGAGTAAAGTATGCTTTTTTTAAAGATTATTAAGTGATGTCTCTTTATACAGCATAGTTAATGTCGCTCTACAAAGAGTACAGTTAATGCCAATGTTTTCTTGCACAGCACAAGGAGTTTGAGGAAATTGAAGGACACTTGAAAAGACGAGAGCCATTGATCCTTGGTAGCACAACTTCTCAAAGACTAAGCCGGCGGCTTCCTGTTGAGGTTATCAGTGATCCTTTGAGTGATGGGGAGTTCGATCATTATGATGATGGGATGGATGTGCATAGGCAACTTAGAAGCCATCAGGTATTTGCCATCTTCAATACGTTATAATCTGTATCTCTAAAACTAACCGTTTGAAGTTTCTATTGGAATTTACGGCCAAAACTGTCTCGCCTTCTCACTAACATATCATATATAGAGACACAATATTTAAAATTTACCACCTTGTCCCCTCTAAATACACACAATCCATATATAATATATCCTAGTCTAATATACCCCTCAGGCTAAGGAGGAGGATTGCATATGCTTAGACTAGAACAAAATAGGTGAGTAAAATCTGTGGTAAATCCTTTGTGAAGATGTCTGCAAAATTGTTTCGAGAGGGAACATGTAAAACACGAATCTGACCCCACTGTACCTTTTCATGGACAAAATGAATATCAATCTCAATGTGCTTAGTGCGTTGATGTTGAACTGGGTTGCTGGACATGTTGATGGCACTGATAATCACAATAGACTAGAGAGGTCCGTTTAAGAGGAGAGCCCAATTCAAGAAGTAAATTTCGCAGCCAACAAATTTCGGCCACAACATTTGCAATGCCCCAGTATTTGGCTTCGACACTGGAGCGGGAGACGGTAGACTGTCGTTTGGGTGGCCAGGAAACAAGTTTTTCTCCAAGATAAATGCAATAACCAGATGTGGACATACGAGTGTCGGGGCATCCGGCCCAATCAGTGTCTGTATAATAAACAAGAGTGGAGAATGGACCAGGCCTCATAAGTAGGCCCATGTTGACTGTGCCCTTTAGGTGTCTCGAAATCCTTTTAAGAGCATGTGGATGACTCATACATGGAGCGTGCATGGCATACTTGCTGAACAACATAAGATATATCGGGTTGTGTTAAGGTGTGATACTGCAGCGCCTGTTATATCTCAGTTCCGGGTTTTATAGTTAAAACCTCTTTATTTGCAGGGAAGGGGAGATAATCGATTGTCCTGAGTGGATAATCGATTGTTAAGGGCTTCAGGTTCTTGGACAGTTTTCTGGGGATGTTCTGGGAGGGGGGATAATCGATTTACAGTAGCAATAATCGATTATTTGACAGTTTTCTGGGCAGGAAGAAGGGTGTTTTTGTGGGGAATGGACTGGAAATATATGGAGTTGATGAGGGAGTTCTTTTGGGTATTTTAATGGAAGAAAAGAGTGAGATTAAGAGGAGAAATGGGGAGGTATGAAATGGAAGAAAATCAGGGATGGATAAACCAAGTTGGTGTTT